GTGGAGCAGAAGAAGAAATGAACCTTCCGCAAGTTTACTTAACCGCGTTGTGGACCTCGACCAGCTGCTGGACATGTCCCACGAACTGCTGATGCAGCTTTACAGGGTATGGAAGTGGCAGCAGCTGAACCGTGGCTGCCAGCAAAAGCAGCACTCACTGCTGAAGCGCCTGTGCAAGGTCAAAAAAGAAGGCACCACCTTTGGAGCAGCCAGAGGTGGTGAAGACACACCTTCAGGCATGGTCTTGCTGCCTGAGGTGGTGGGCAGCATGGTGGCGTCTGCAGTGGCAAGACCTTCAGCCAGGTGGAGATGAAGCCAGAAATGATGGACACTACCTGGGCGTGCTTTCCATCACCTATAATCCTGGAAAGCTTGGCCAGCCCTAAGCACCTATGTTGTGCTGGATTCGGAGTGGGGACTCCATCTGCATCTTTAAGTGTCCTAATGAAATTGGTGGTGAGACAGGATGTCTCAAGGCACCTGCCTTTCAGGAGTGCAGAAAGAGTGACTGGAAGAAGTCTTATCAGTACAAGAGTGACGCTGAGAACGGAGACAGTTTTAGGGTGATGATACTGGGCTTGGTATGCATTTTTTGTGCAAAGATAAGTTATATCCTTTTAGCTAGTTTAGTCGTCGTGATATCAGGATATCCAAAGCATATTTCTTCCTTTTTTTTTGTCTTTTTCGTTTTTATCTGTACCAGGGGTCAAACTCACGACTGCACACTTGCAAGGAAGGCGCTTATGCCGCTGAGCTAAATCCCCAGCCCCCAAAGCATATTTCTTAATATATAATATTCAGAGCCAGTATCAGAACATGCTGGCATGAAGGACAGAGCAAGAAAACTCCCTTCTCAGAATAAAAAACTGCATCGCATTGAGTCAGAATACTTAATCTGATTTATGTAATAAACCACTGAAAAGCAGTGTGCATATCTTTATATATAAAGGACAGTTACACATTTTCAGAAGGACAAACCCCAGATAGAACAGAAGATAAACAGGAAAACCAGAAATATAAATGGACAATATACCTGTGAAAATAAAATTTTACTTTATTAGTGCTCAAAGAAACAAATCATTGAGCTATAGCTTACAAATATAGATATTTGTCTTACTGAAAAATGCTGTAATGTGGGGAAACAGGCTTTCTCAGTAGTATGGGCCTCTTTTCAGGTTTTCCATGTGCAACAACTTGTTCTTGTTTAGATATCCACTTATCTACTTACAGAAAACTTTGATAGAACTCATGTATTTTGGGATTCCCTGGATCACTACATTTCGAATATAGTTTTATTTAATGCAACTTTGGGACAGATTTTAGGAAAAAGCTTCTATAGTATTTAATAGTCTATCCATGCTACTATTTTATTTAAAATGGCAGAAATAGAGGGCAAATTAAAAAATATTTAAAAACTTACTACTTAATTATGAGGTTGGAATTTATATGGAGAATTTCCAAATATATTACACTTTGGGATACTTTAATGTCAGCTGAAAAGATTTTTTTTCTTAGCTATCAGTTTAACATGTATTACCTATTTACATGGGGTAACTGGTTTATATTTTTCTCTATATCTTCCCCCCAAATGTGATTTTATTTTTCTGAACAGGAATGATTATGTTCTTTTTAAGATTTAAGATTAGGAAAAAGGTAACTGTAGCATTACAGGAACAGAATGTTACTGTATTAGGTCTGGGTGGTAGTCTAAATTTTGCCATTTCATATATTCTAGGAGCCTGGGGTTAGGATCCAACCTTTTCTAAACCTTTCTCTCCTGTGCAAGTAGGAACAGTTGATCCTGCCAGTTTCTTTAAACAGCTGTATAAAGATTACATGCATCAGTGTTCCTAGTGGTTCACTGAAAATGTGAAGTAAGCACCTATTAGTATAAGTTGGTGGTACCATTATTATTATTACTACTATAATTTTAGTCATACGTTGAATTGATAACAGTGTTACATGATGTGAATGTATTTTCCATAACTGCAAATTTTTTTGATTTTAAAGTGGGAGGAAAAGCAAGAGACAAATAATAACAAAAAACTCAAAACAAAAATATAGGCTTTCAAAACAAGATGATAGGAATTTAACAATGGTTGTTATATTGCATATTGTTATAACATCAAAAGAGTTGCTTAGCTATAACATCAAAAGAATTGCTTAGATATAGACATGCAAAATTGATAAAATAGTATTAGCTGGTCTTTTCCAAGACTAATAAAATTAGTAGTATAATCATCTTAGCTATCTTATGTATATATACCCAAATTTGTATCTTTTTTTCCCCTTTGTTTTCTCCTTTTCTCTGTCTCAGTCATTTTTTCCCTCTGAGCAATAGTTTTCTTAACCGCAAAAATTCTTTTTAGCATTTTGATATCTAAGCCCTTGAGCTGGAAACTGGTGTTTTTCTAATATTAATCCCTGTGATTTATAGCTCTAGTGATAGTTGAATGATAGGATGATTGAATGGGTCAGAGGTTAATTTAGTACTGTCTGAATGCAGAAGCTTGTTTTGAGTAAGTCCATTCTGATACTGTTTACACACTGTTGTCCTCAACATTATTTATCCAGGCTTCATTGCTTGCCTTTTGGGTTGCAGTTTGTAAAATTTCCACTTGGGGGTAGTATTCTATTACAAAATTGAGCAATTTTTCTCTTGAAGAGTATATCTGTCAATTGGATTTTGAAATTTCCTGTGCTTATATACAAAATCATAAGAGACTACTAGTTAAATGTTTTAAAACCTTGATTTTTAAAAAATCTGGTTGTTTCCTGTCATTTTAATACAATAATTGCCTGAAAGTGAACAGTTAATAGTAATTTAGTCTTTTGAGAATCAACTATTTTAATCTCTTGAAGGAAAACATAAGTCACTCACAAAATGTTATTTTGTATCTTTGCAGAATTTTTATTTTTAATAAGGCTGTTAATACAGTTTTAGGAAAAATATATCCCATTCTACATTTTTGAAAAGCCTGTTTCCTTAGGCTTTAAGTGTGTGGCTGAGTATTTTATTTTTTTCTCTTTGTATCATCTTTACCTTCTGAATCACCGAATCCTACTTTGTCCCCTCATTTCAATTAAAAAGCAACCAGCCAGAAAAAACCCTTGAAATATTTTCTTCAGGAAATAAATCTTGTTTTTTCTCCAGTTGTAATCATGAATATTGAAATGTTAGTATATATTGCCTTATTTATTGATTAGTAATTGTTATAATCCTCAGAATCTGTATAGTAAACAAAAATGACCACTTCAGTATGCAAATTATTTGTTTCCAGTATTTTTCTTAAGTGTTGCTTTGTCCTAGTTATTTGGCATTGATACAAATATTTTTCATGAGTTTTTGCATATTTTGTCTTGAGTTTTTTTAGTATATGTGCTGCTGAAGAGAGCACTGTCTTGAATTATTATGTAATTAACTTCCCTTTTTCTCCGATATATTGGCCTTGATACATAGTTTATGCTTAAGTCTGTGTATTACTTTGTTGTGAAGCACTTCACTTTCACTACACTAGAATCACCACGCTAGAATACACTAGGACAAACTCCGTACTTGCTATGTAAACACTTCTGTGCCCCACAATAGATTTTCTTAAAAATAGTAAATGTACAGTTCATCTTAATATCCATATAATTAAATGTGAAGAGACATGTGTGATTAAACATAGATTGAGGCATGATTTAGTTCCTGAACACTTAGCTGTATGTAATTTTGACCTCTCTTGATAAATGATTTTTATTTCTTTAGTTCTCCACGAAAATGTATTTTATGAAAATTTCAAGTGTTGTTTTCTGCCTGGTAGTTTAAAGTCATGAATGTGTATGTGTTACTTTTCTATAAACAAGGCTTTCTTCACGTGGAGAAGATATTTTACAACGTGTGCTAATAACGTCTTTTAAAATTTTCTTATAGTACGAATGCAATGTAAGATCTATCCTTATAACAGATTTTTAATTTATGATACAATACCAGTATAGGCACAATGTTGTGTAGCAGATCTCTTTAACTTACTCATCTTGCATAATTGAATCTGTATACCCATTACTTAGCAATTCCCTATTTCTGACCTCTCAGATCTTAGCAACTACCATTCTATCTCTGATCCTGTACATATGGACCATTTTAGATCCTCCCTATGAATGATACTGTGTAGTGTTTGTCTTTTTGTTGACTGTCTTGTTTCACTTAGCATGTCTTCAAGGTTATCTTCTTTTTCATTCACCTTTTAGTGGGACATTTTCTTTCTATACCTTAGCTATAGTGAATAGTACGACAGTGAATGTTGAAGTGCTAATGTCTCTTGAATATTTGAAGAGCTTTTCAATTCTTTTTCCTTCTGATTTCTATTCTTTTGGATTAAAAAACACTGAAGTGGAACTGCTGTATCATTTTGTTTTGAATTTTTAAAAATTAATATTAATGCCCATATTAATGGATTCAGGTGATAGTTCTGTACACACAGCATGCGTTGAGCATATCAAAACTCTTCTTTCATCTCACTCCTCTTCCTTGTAGTCACTGTTCTGCTTTAGCTCCCAGACCATTACATTGTCTTGCTGTGTATCTAATCTTGAAGAGATTTTCATATTGTTTTCTTTTTTCTAAAAAATGAGTTGAACTACCTTTTTTTCCAAAGAGGAAAAACATTGGCAAGTTAAAATTTTCATGACATGAACCTATATTTAATTATATTTACTGTTTATGATAAATAAATATGATTTGGAAATACTTATCTTACGGAATATGTAGTGAAGTTGGGAATATAGGAGGGAATTGGACAGATGACTGAAGAAACAAACTAGTAATAAGAATTTCATTGCTGGGGCTGGGGATTTAGCTCAGCGGCATAAGTGCCTGCCTTGCAAGCAGGCAGTCGTGAGTTCGATCCCTGGTACCGATAAAAAGGAAAAAGACAAAAAAAAAAAAAAATTCATTGCTAATTTATGTTTTAACGTGTAGAAGTTAATTATTGTTTGCTTGTTATTGTATTTTACAGTGAATGATTTAGGAGGGGACTTCAAGGGAGTTGGTAAAGGCTCCTTAGCAGCTGATAAGGTGGTTGAAGAAATAAGAAGAAAAGGTGGAAAAGCAGTGGCCAATTATGGTATGGTATTTGGAAAACTATACTGTTTATTTTCCTTCAATTTATGTATTTGCTTAAATTAATCTTTGAGAAAACACCTTAGCATGCGAGTGTAATTATACTAGATTTTGTCGAATTCTGCCAAAGTTCTTTAGCTGCATATTTTACATAAGACTTGAGAATTTAAAAAATTTTGATATACATTTTTCACAATTGTAACCTTTGTTTTGTTTAGTCCTTTAGTATTTTTATTAATGAACATATGATATATTCAGTAACTTATTCTAGGTAATACTGTTAATGTTTTTGAAAGAATTTTTTTTAGTTAAGAGGTCTTATATATTTGATAAAATGATCGTAAATTCTTTTTAAGAGACCAAGTAATATAAGAAGTATAAGGCCCTCTTTCCATACCAGTCTCCGTATTCTATTCTGCACAGAGTCACGGCTTGTATTAGATAGCTTTCCTGTTGTAGGGGCATAATACCTGACAGCCACACAATTTAAAGCAGGAAGATTAGCATGGCTCTGAGTTTTGGGGGAATTCAGTCCACAGTTGCCTGGCTGCAGTGCAGTAACCTCATGGTGGAAAGGCATGGCTAAAGAAAGCTGCTTGCCTCACAGTAGCTGGGAGGTAGAGAGTGAGGAGATGAGCGAGGAGGGAGAGGTAGTCTTCTAACCAGACCCATTTTCTAACAGCATGTTTGGCTGTGACTCCTCGGGGAATTACTCCAGACAAATGGAATGTTTAATTTTATTTAAACATTTTGAATAGTCAGTAGCCACATATGATTAATGGCTACTATATTGAACCGTGTAGAAATAGGAAGTTTCCATTCTCACAGAAAGTTATATTGGACAATGATTCTTTCGTTAGTGTTTGTCAAGTATTTATTTCCCTCACACCTCCTTTTTGTGTAGATTAAAATTGTGTAGGGCCAGGCCAGGGTTATGGCTTAGCACCATAAGCACCTGTCTGGCCAGCACAAGGTTGTAAGTTTCCTTCCTGGTACTGCCACTAAAAAAAATTGTCTGGGGCCAAATTTCTTTGGTAACATTAAACCATCTGTGTATGTGTCTACAATATAAATGTATATTTTTTGGAAATGAGTTCTGAGGGGTATATGGTATCAATGATGTGCTCTGATAAACGGAAATTAGACTCACTTATGAGGAGATCACCTCATAATAATCTTACTATTTTTCTTCAGATTCAGTGGAAGCAGGAGAGAAGATTGTGAAGGCAGCACTGGATGCTTTTGGAAGAATAGGTGATGTTTCTTTGCATTTATGGTTCTAAAAGAATACCTTCTACTTTCCTGATAAAATATTTTTGAACTTATTTTTGTTACTTTTGGTTTAATATCTGGTATCTTGCAAATGAACTAAAGTGAAGTATATATCGTAAAATTGTTGTTGCTAAGAGGCATTCCAGGACTGGGGTTTAGCTCAGAGGCACAAGTGTCTGCCTGACAAGTGCGAGGTAATGAGTTTGATCCCAGTACCAAAAAAAAAGCATTCCAAGTATACTTATTCCATATTTCTCTAGATGATCTTCCTGGTTTTCTAGTACACATTCTTATTAAGAGATTAATGCATTTCTACCGGGGAAAAATTACTAAAGATAAAATTACCATAGATAGCCTAACATATTTGCAGTTTGAAGCATGTTAGCATGTGTAAACAGACTGTGTGCTTGCTTTTTTTGTTTGGTTTGGCATTTTTTTAAAAAATTACTTTAGGTCGTACTCTTAGCGCCATGATAGAGCATTTGACACAGACGATAGAGGTGTGAAGTCATTGGGCAAAAACAGCCACAAGATGGTGGTTGAATCTAAAAGAAGTAATTGCTTTCTTTGCAGAGAGAATATAACAGCTCTACATCAATATATGGCATCAGTTTTTAACTTTGTTCTCTCTTGGAGCTTTTGTCTTTTGAGTGGCATGAAATGATCTTTAAACTTTTAGTTTTCTGAGTGAATTTTGAAATTGAGTGCTGGATGACTTACGGTTCTGAGTCCTCAGAAACCAACAACAGTTAACTTCTGTATGTATCCTGATAGAATTTCAGTACATAATTGGGGTGGGAAAAAAATACATATTTGAGAGGAAGGTGCTGATATAATGTGATAGTTACATTTTTATGAATCGGTTTTTTTGTTACAAAATTTAGTTTTGATATTATCCTTCTTTACCATGGGGGAGGAGAGAAACCAATTCTGAGAGAAATGTGAGTTGTAAACAAATTAAATTAATATGCTTGCTTTTATATTTGTGATTTGTTCTTTTTTTATATTGTAGATGTTGTAGTCAACAATGCTGGGTGAGTATTTCATTTTTCATTTTCAGTAAAGTGCATATAGTTGTTTTCATGTGTATATTTCTCCCTTTCTATATCAATTTTAATTGTAAAATTATTATTTTAGAATTCTGAGGGACCGTTCTTTCAGTAGGATAAGTGATGAAGACTGGGGTAAGTTGTTTTTAATGTTTCTGTGGAATGTACCTATTTGGCTTTAAAAATTTGATTCATTCATATATTTAAGAAAACAACCTATTTCTGTCTACTTTTCTTATGGCTAGCATAAATGACCATCTCTACTGTTGATGAATAGTTGGAAATTTAACATTTGTTAAATATCTTAAAAATTTTAATTATTTGACAGAAAGGATTTTTTTTGGTTTGTTTCTCTTTTTTCTCCTTAGGAGGTTGTTCACATTTTGTCACAGTGTTCAGTCTTTGTAATAGCCTTTGACGTGTTTATCAAGCTTATATTATTGTTTTTTCAAGACCAGAGCAGGACATGCAGGAGTGTTTAGGGCACAAGAAATGAAAAGTAACAGAGATCTTTGAACAGGAAGGAACAGAATCTGGGTGTATATTTGAAGTTTCTAGTAAATAAGGAAGGATTTCCATTTTCCTTTGCCATATTAGAAAGATTGAATTTAGGTAAAAAGGTCACAGTTGTGATTTTCCTTTTGTTTTTCTCTACTCTGTCCTTATATTCGCTGAACATCAGAACTAAATCAAATAACAGATGAGAACAGTGGTAGGCATGGCAACTGAGTTGAGATAACTCTGACATTGTTCATAGTACATCTGTCCCCCCAAGTCCTTTGAGAAGAAGCAAAAACACCCTTAGGTTTTAGAGTTAGGCAAAGAAGAGCTATTAATGTCTTTTCCCCATATAATGAGTGAAAAAGAAGCTTAGCAAGGTAAAGTTTGCTGGCATGGGAGCTTAGGTTGGTGGTTGGAATTGTAAAGGGACCAGATTCTTTCCTTCTCTGATTCTGGTGCTCAGCCCACCTCTCCTGACTACTTTTTTGTTTTACTGCATAGCTCTTGTTTTCACTCTGCTTTCTTTGATAGACACATGATCATATTTATTGAAACAAAAGTAAGTAAGAGTGGTTTAAAACTTGACAGTTGACAATTTTACACATTAAATCTAGAGTTGTCTATAGCAATGTTCCCTCAGTGTTCATGAGAATGAAATTTCTGAAAATAGATCTCAGTTTTTTTTTGCCTTTTGTGCATTCTTATTCATCCCTATTCCAACTCATTTGCAATCCTATAAAAAGTAGGAATATAGTGAATATTGTGTAGCTATTTCTTGATGATAAGGTATATGGTGTATGATTGTTTTAATACTAGTGTTGAGTGCCAATATATATGTAAAATTCTTATTTATCCATATTAGCAAAATTTTACATAAATGACTACTAAAAGTGGCGTTTTATTTAGATATATATAATGAGATTGCAATAATTTTCTAAGTCATAGGAAAAACAGTTGTAAATGGATGTGAACTAGTGATTGGTAGCAAGCACAACTGGAACAAAAGCAAAAATGATTACTTAGAGCTGTTAACAATAGCTGATTTTGAATTCCAGGTATAAAATAAACATCTTTGTATAGGTAAACGATTGCCTATGTACTTAATATAAATAACTTCTTATTTTAGATATAGTCCATAGGGTTCATTTATGGGGCTCATTTCAAGTGACCCGGGCAGCATGGAATCATATGAAGAAACAGAACTATGGGAGGTAGGATTTCACACAGCAGTCAAAAAGGATTGCAAGGGTGTGTGAATGTGTGTGTGTGTGTTTGTGTGTGTGTGTGAATACAAAGAAGAAACAGAACTGTGGAAAGTAGGATTTCACACAGCTGTCAAAGAGGATTGCAGATGTCTGTGTGTGTGCACGAGAGTGTGTGCGAATACAAAGAAAAAGATTATATGATGTGATATTAAATGATTGCTTGATACTGAGAAAAACATCTTCAGATATGTGCATGTTTTTAAAATGTAGTTTTGTACCCATTAAATTGGTACCATTTATAGTCATAGACTAGCTGAGCTAGATAGCTTTGTATATCTTTTTTCCTACTCTTTCATTTTTAATGACTTTTCTGTTATTTTTTGTATATTAGAAAGTAGTGCAAACATTGTGGATTCAGGTATGTTCTCTTATAAAGTATAATTTCGTGTGTCCAGTGACCAGCTGGAGAGAGCTTAGTGGCTGTTTTCTGCTCTTGATACTGGATGGACATGTATTAGTCGTACAGTCTATTTAGCCACTGAGGACTTATCTTGAAGGCCGCTTCTACTCAGAATGTGGTAATGCTGTGTATTACCCCTTGGTAATTGCACGCTGGTGTCAGGGTCATCCCTGCTAACTTAAGATTCAAGCGTACCATTCAGAAAAAAGTTGTTTGTATTGCATCTTATTGAAGACTTCTATTTTATTTTTGATCTTAGCATTTTCTGAAAATATGAATTTTATTTTGTTTAAGGAGATTGAGGTTTGGTCAGATTATAAAATGGCATTGTTTTAATGAGGATTTTAATATTAACCATAAAGGAAGAGGGGTTAATGTGGTGAGGACAGAGGAACTCAAACTTGATTTAATATTTCTTGCTAAAATTATTACATGTATTGTTATTTTGTGCTTATAAACACTGTTTTTGAAAGACTATTATACTTGAATTCTTCTGGCTGTGACCAAGGAATCATTTCAAACAGACCTCATAGTTGAATTTTGAGAGATTATTTTTACATAAATACTATTTTAGATATATGAATTATGACTTTGAGAACCTAATGATGGTACATAGAGTTAATCTTGATGGATGTAATAGTACCAAAACAGAGTTACAATTGCAACATTATTAAGATACACAAAAGATGATATTGACAGATATATTTTCCTTTTAGGATCATTATGACTACATCGTCTGCAGGAATATATGGTAACTTTGGCCAGGCAAATTACAGTGCAGCAAAATTGGGTCTTTTGGGCCTCTCAAACACTATCGCAATCGAAGGCAAGAAAAACAACATCCATTGCAACACTATTGCCCCCACTGCCGGATCCCGGTTGACTCAGACTGTTATGCCAGATGGTAAGTTAAGTTTTTCAGTGCAGTCACAAACATAGAATGACCTTTCCAAAAGCACTTAATCTTTTGAATACCTAAAACATTTTTCCTTTGTAATTTCAACAACACTTTGTGTAATTTGTGTTCCTTGTTGAAAAATTTAAAAATCACAAAGATAAGATTTCCTGTAACTCTGTAATTGTGCCATGCAGGAAACTCTCCAACTACAGTACAATGGTTTTTGCACTGAGTCATGTGCATCTTAATCCCAGCCCTTTTTTAATTGAGAAGGGGTATTGCGGAGTTGCCACATTGCCCAGACTATGTTGAAAGTATCACTGTCCTGTATCAGCCTGGTAGTCACCCACTTCCTTGCACAGATGGACACAGTGTATATCACTTTTTTATATAGGGTGAGGTAGTGGCTTTCTTAACTGTTTTGTAATCATTATTTAAAAATCATGTTTATTTTTTAGAGCCAGTCTTTGCTTTACAGAAAAGTTGGGAGTTCTTGTTGCTCTACATGCATGGCAGGGTTTGTTGTCAGTCCTTTAAGTTTTAATCTTTCTAATAGATGTGTAGTGGTATCTTGTTTTAATTTGTGACTCTCAGGTAACATAGTGTTGGGGACCTTTTCCTATGCTTGTGTTTCATTTATTTATCATCTTTGAATCTGCTTATTTTTAAATTGGACTGTCTTTGAGTTTTAAGGTTTTTTTCTTTTTATACTTTGGAGCAGGTCCTTTAGCAGATACTATGTTTTGCAAATATCTTTTACTAGTCTATGTTTCACTTTCTGGTTTTTTTTTTTTCCTTTTTGAGACAGGGTCTCACTATGCAGTTCAAGCTGGCGTTGAGCTCACTTTGTAGCCCAGGCTGGTCTTGAACTTGCAGTGATTTCCTGAGTGCTGGGATTACAGAAGTGAGCCACCACACCTGGCTGACTTTCTGTTCTTTTAATCTGCTCTTTTTGGTGGGATTGTTTTTTTTTTTAAATCTGTACAGGGGATTGAACTCAGACTGCCTGCTTGCAAGCCAGGCACTTATGCTGCTGAGCTAAATCCCCAGCCCCTTGATCTGCTTTTTTTAAAGTATCAATGTTTATCAATAGGTGCAAGTATATAAAATCAGGAGATGAACATGACTTGATAAATCAAGTAGACTTAACATCAGTATTACATGAAGGAGGAACCAATTCAAGTTCTTACCATTTGTTCCACATCCATAAAAACTACTTTATGGACATTAATAATCTCTCAGAATTTCTCAGTTTGTGTAAGTAAATGATACTCCTTTTAAAAAGATTTTTGCATTTGCTTGGGGTCAAGGATATTAAAATCTAGTCCATAAATTTACTTTTGCAGAATAATTTTACTTTAAATATTTCAATTCATGTTCACTTTGGTTGCATGGTTTCCGAAGTAGTCTGATTCTCATACTCATTGCTCTTTAGGTTAGGTGTTTTTCCATTCTGGCTACTCCCAAAGTTTTTTCCTTATATTTGATTTTCTGCCATTTGAATATAAAATGCATAGGTAGAGATTTATGTTATTTATAGTGCTTGATTTTTTTTTTTTTTTTGTCTTTTTTTTTTCCCTTTTTATCGGTACTGGGGATTGAACTCAGGACTGCCTGCTTGGAAGGCAGGCGCTTATGCTGCTGAGCTAAATCCCCAGCTCCAATGCTTGATGTTTTCACAACTCCCGGGATCTGTAGTTTGGTGTCTCATTAATTTTGGAAAATTCTCAGTCATCATTACTTTAAAAATTTGACTTTCCTTTTTTTTTTTAAAGGGTAAAATTAAACATAATAAAACAGATCGTAAGAAAGCAATTTAAGAAACAAAGATTGCAAAACAAGACCACTGGAGATCTTCACTGTGTATCATATTGTCTCTTGTTTTCTTCCAAATAGTTGTCTGTCTTCATACACAATGAATTCATACCAAACAAAATAGTACTAAACTGATCAGAACAGGATGATGAAGGCATTTTAGGTCTTCAAGACCAGACAATAGGGAAGTCAACAATGGCTGCCATAGTGTCTTTCTTTCTCTTCAAAATAGCTGTCCATATCTTTACGTATGCTGAAATTAAACAAAATAAAACAGACTAATATTACTCTGGACAGAGAATAATAGTATTGCTAGATTTTATATCATGATGCTACAGAATTAGTACTGGATATCATAGTGTCTCTTTTTCTTCAGAGTATCTGTTCATTACATTGTGCATTATATAATCTCTACATGTATACTTATCCTTTCAGAAACAAATGAAAACAAGACAACAAATTCCTAGAAAAACATGAAATGAAAAAGATGTATAAAACCACCATACTAGGTGATCTACAGTAGTTACTACGATGTCTCCTATTATTTTCAATAGAATTGTCCACATCATCAGACATAATGTAATTGAACATAGCGATACAAAGCAATATTAATAAAAACAAAACATGAGAGACATTGTAGGACTTTAAAAGCAGTTAATAATCGAATGGAATGGGTATCCCTTTGCGTCTTGTTGTCTTCAGAGTAGTTGCCTCTACTCTTAGACTTGATACTATCAAGCATACCAGATTCAAATAAAATTAGTGAAGACCAAACAGTTATCTAACAAACCAGATTCAAATAAGATCAGTCATAGTGAGACAGTGTAAGTAATAAAGGGCTTCAGGTTAAATTAATAGGAAATTAAGATAGTTACTGTAGTATATCCTGCTATTTTTGGGATAGCTGTCTGTGCCCTCAAATCTAGTATGAGTAGACAGACTGGAACAGACTAAAATCAAACTAAACAGAGCCATAAGATTAATGTGCCTTTTAAATCCTGATACACTATTAACAATGTCCTCTGCCTTCCTTTTTTAAAAAATTCCTCCTCTTTCCCTTTCTCAGGGTGCTTTGTGCATTTTGGGGCCCACTAACTCCTTTAGTTCTTAGATTGGGGGGCAACCTGTTATCTCCTAAGTGGTTCTGAACCTTTTTATCCCTGAGCGTGATCTTTTTTTTTTTTTAATTTTATTTAAGAAGAAAAAGAAAAAAAGCAGAGAAAGGGTACAAGTTATACAGATTTACAGAAAAAAATAAACAGTAGGAAATCACTAGTTAATGGATTACATATTGTCATTTTAGAAATAATTGTTCAAGTTACAAAATTAAAGCTTATAAAGTGGACATTCCAACAGTGAGACTGCAAACAGTTCTGTTCAATGATCCAACAAAACTCAGTAATATCATTATCTATCTTACACACTTAAATATACATGCAGTTGTATTGTTGAGAGCATTTTCTTTTCCTCTTTTTTGTACAATGACAATTACACATTTTGGGTTTTGTTGCTCCCACAGTTCTTATTTTTTGGAAGAGAGTAGAACCAAATGTGACATAACAGAACAGAGTCAGTCAAATCAAAAGGGTGGACATAATAGATAATGTAAAAGCATAATACAAGGTGATCAACAATGGTTACCATAATACCTCCCGCTATCTCTAATAGAATTGCCTATATCATCAGTTATAATAAAATTGAACAAAACAGTAAAGAACAAAACTGGCAAAACCAAAACATTGGAGACATTATAGGTCTTCAAAAGTAGATAATAGACAACCAGAATGGGCGTCATAATGAATCCCACTATCTTCACAGCTGTTGCCTAAACTTTTGAACCTGGTACTATCAAGCAAAACAGAGTAGAGGAACATCAGTCAAAACAAGATGGTGAGAGGAATACAGGGCTTTAAATCAAGATAATGGAGAGTCAAAGTGGGTTACTATAATATATCCTGCTATTTTTTTATTTATTTTTCCCTTAATTAAAAGGATAAAAATAAAAAAGTAAATAATGAAGTGGAGATTGAGATAAAAGAGGGCATAACAGCAAAACAGCGCAGATCAAAACATAACCATTTAAGCAAAATAGTGTTTCACCACAAGATAATCCCGACATAAAAGTGCTTACCATATTGTCTCTTTCCTTGAAATCTTTGAGTATAACTTCGTATACTGTAGCATCAAATATATCAAAACAATGTAAAACCATTTAAGAGAATGACAGTATTACAGGGTATTTAGAATCAATTAACAGAAAATGAACAATGGTTTCTGTATAATCTCCTTGACTATAAAAGTTTTTGCTTATACTATCATACATAATAAAATGCAATAAGATACAACCTGTTTAGGCCAATGGAGACAGAAGAACAAAAGCTTGATGAGACTTCAAAACAAGATGATACTAAGTCAGTATTACCTATTAAGACATGATTTTCTCCAAAATAGCCCGTCCTATCATCTAATCTTCTCTGCCTCATTTCTGTTGAGCTCTTTTTCTGTCATTAGTTGTCAGTTTGTCTTCATTTTGTTTTCTGCTCCATTCATTGTGGCCTTTCTGGCACTATTTCTGGATTCTTTGTATTTTTCTTTTTTAGAATATCCTGCAGTATTCTCTGTAGAGTTGAATTGGTGGTTGCATATTCCCCTGGTTCCTCTTTATCCTGGAAGTACCTTGTTGTTCCATCAATTTCCAGGGATAGTTGTGCAGGATATATCAATCTTGGCTGGAGATTATTATCTTTCAAAGCTTGAATTATTTCCTCCCACGCTCTTCGTGATTTGATGGTTTGTGCCGAGAAATCTGCTGTAATTCTGATGGGTGTTCCCTTGTAAGTGATCTGTTTCTTGTCTCTGACGGCTTTTAATATTCTGTTCTTGTATTGGATTTCTGGAATTTTAATTATTTATGCCCGGGTGTTGCTCTGTTTGGGTTGTGTGTGGCTGGGGTCCTATATGCTTCATACAACTGAGTATCTTTACCTTTTGCTAAATTAGGAAAATTCTCCTGGATTATTTCTGTGAGTAGCTTTTGTAGTTCATTTGTTTGTGTCCCTACTTCTTCTTTTATGTTCTTAATTCTTAAGTTATAGATCCTCTTATCATCTAGTCTTTGTATTATTGCTGTTTGTTTCTTTGTTATTTTTAAGAAGTTTTTCATTTCATGCTCCCATATTACAAATCTGCCC